TTGTTTCCTTGCTTAGAAGAGTTCACTTCCGTGGATAAGGTGGACCACTTGGGACACTGTAATTTAGAGGGAAATAAAATTATTAAAAGAAACCTGAACTGTTCTTCTGATTGTCTAAATGGCTAAAAAAAATTGTATTCTTGGAGAATTTCAAGTCATTATTGGTTTGCCATCCACACATGAAGCAATAAAATGTATTTACAGTCAAAGACCAAATGCAATCAAAAGTTGAGGAATACATTACAATAACCCTAAGAAAGACATTTTTAAAAATGAGGAAAAACTTCAAAAAATGGGGCAGTTTTTCAGTTAATAACAATTAATAACATGAGAAAAGAATTCGTAAAAACATATTAAGGTTTGTTGGAGTCACACCAGTCTGAAAAAAAGTTGCTGGGAAATTGAGTTTAATGTCTCTGGAGAGTCTTAATCATCCAAATCATGGTTGTCCGAATAGTCAACTGGACTTTCTTTGTATTTTCTTTGAAAACTTTCTGCTTCTCATCCAGAACCTTTTTCAGTTCTCAGTTAAAGTGAGTTTCATCAGACAATCCTGTGGAATTAGCTGATAATGTCCTATTTTATTTTATTTAATTTGATTTATATGCCGCCCTTCTCCGGAGACTCAGGGCAGCTTACAGTGCGTTAAGCAATAACCTTCATACTTTTGTTTATTTATACAAAGTCAGCTTGTTGCCCCCACAAACTGGGTCCTCATTTTACCTAGCTTAGAAAGGATGGAAGGCTGAGTCAACCTTGAGCCTGGTGAGATTCGAACTTACAGTAATTGCAGACAGCTGGTGTTAATCACAATGCTATCAGTCTGCTGAGCCACCAGGCCCTATGTTCCCCAAGTCTTAGCCTGAACCCAAAATGGGGTATTTTGGAAATAACAAATTAACAGCACAAGTTCTGCCTTCATTAAAGCCATACCTGATAATGATAGGAAGAATCTCTAGAAGGAAATAAAAGGTCTTTTCCAGAATCTAAGGACGAGATCTTTTTCAGTGAATCCTGTTGGCCTTCACTTGGTGCAAGTACAGTCAAAAAGGAGAATTGAGCTGGACAAAGCTACAAACTTTCTCAGAAAACTTGTGTGATATTCTTCTCTGAATTCTGCATGTTTAAATGCTATCGCACACAGTATGCAAAAGAAGTGGCTAAAGAGGCAATCATATTTTGAAAGAAGGAACAAGAAAAAGGCACTTGTTAGAGAAGCAGCCTATTCTGGACATCAAATTCTTGAAGTCCAGGAGCCTTAAAGGAAAGGAACATCTTATGGCAGGAATTATGAATAATTCATTCCTAAACCATTTTGTGAATGCACCCACTGAATGTTTTACAGCAGGGCTGTCAAACTGGTGGCTCATGGGATGGATGCGTCATGTGTAGACTACGCCCATCCTGGCTCTGCAAAGACAAAAAAAGTTGTGGTACGTCACAATATGTCACATGATACAATCAGTTATACATCACAATACGTCACGTGACAGCTATATTTTACATATCAATAGATTAACAGAGTTGGAAGGGATCTTGTAGGCCATCAAATCCAACCCCGCACCTAAGCAGAAGATCCTTCACCATTTCTGACAAATGGCAGTCTAATCTCTTCTTGGAAGCTTCCAGTGATAAAACGCCAATGCAATCCCCAACCTCAGGAGAGAGTGGAAAACAGGAATTCATGATTCGGTGATAGAGTTTCAATTTTGGAATAAGCTTACAAAGCATGATGAACCCTTGAGGTTTTCGTTAAGAGTAGTACCCACAAAGGAAAGGAAATTTTATATATAATATAATTTTCATGCTGTTCATACCGTCTGAGTAATTAAATTGCTGCTCTATCTATCTATAGATGGACAAAAGTTTTGCATCAAAATGTATTCAGCAACAAACTTGATGAGTTTCAAAGCAGTTGCATACCAAGGTACCACTGTATGCCTGTATCTGTGTATCTGTCTGTCTCTCATCTCTCTCTCTCTCTCTCTCTCTCTCTCTCTCTCTCTCTCTCTCTCTCTCTCTCTCTCTCTCTCTCTCTATCTATCTATCTATCTATCTATTTCTATCTTTTGACACTCACACCACACCCATACCCTCACAACAAATCCTTAAAAAATCCTTCTATTCCAAAAACAGCCATACAAAATTAAGAATAAAATCCCGGAAGAGGTTTGCGAATGAAAAGGAAAAATTACTAAGGTTCTTCTATTCCAGAATTTTGCCAGGTGAAGTTGGTGCCAGCTAGAAATACGGACTTGAAATCACCATAAAAGAGTGGCAGGAGGGGAGGCTTACTATTAATAATGGGATGGGATGGGATGGGATGGGATGGGATGGGATGGGATGGGATGGGATGGGATGGGATGGGATGGGATGGGATGGGATGGGATAGAATAGAATAGAATAGAATAGAATAGAATAGAATAGAATAGAATAGAACAGTAAGAATAAGAATAAGAATAAGAATTAGAATAGAATAGAATAGAATAGAACAGAAAGAATAAGAATAGAAGAATTAGATTAGAATAGAATAGAATAGAATAGAATAGAATAGAATAGAATAGAACAGAAAGAATAAGAATAAGAATAGAAGAATTAGAATAGAATAGAATAGAATAGAATAGAATAGAATAGAGTAGAATAGAATAGAATAGAATAGAATAGAATAGAATAGAATAGAATAGAATAGAATAGAACAGAATAACTTTATTGACACTTTGAATGTACACTAATCGGCATACATTAAAATGACATTTCGTTGCATACAGCTCTCAAATGGTCACCGCCTCCAATATACACTCCATGAACATGACATTATTATAGAAGCTACATATATTTAGTAAAAAAAAGAAAGCCACTTATTAATAATAAACTTATTATACAATATAATTGAATGATACTATGTCTGACATTTTTCAAGATCAAAAGTGTGTTAAACGGCTAAAACATTTCAGCTAAAACATTTCCCGTTAAACAAGTTCTTCGGAATGAAAAATGAGGACACAGCAATACTTCCTGTTTACATAGTTTTTATTTTTAAGTACTTTGCTCAGTAAGTTTGTATCAATTCTGTACGTTCTTAAGGAAAGATGATAATGGATGATCGCCTAAACGGGGAGCAATGGGCAGCAGCAAAATGGGCAGCAATGGGCAGCAGCCAAAAAAAAGCTAATACAATCCTTGGTTGTATAAACAGAGGCAGAGAATCAAAATCATGGAAAGTATTAGTACCACTTTACAAAGCCTTAGTAAGACCGCACCTGGAATACTGTATCCAGTTTTGGTCACCACTGTAGGAATCTGCAATCTGCATATGTACAGGGATTTTCCTATCTTGGATGGCAATCCTCAGATAAGGAAGGTTACTTGCACGTAAGCGCCAGGAAACTACATTAGAAGATAAGACCCTAATTCTGTAAATAAGAGGAACAGCAGGAGAGGAAATGGGATATATGTGTATTAGACTTTAATTAAAGTCTAACATTATAAGTGCTTAAGCAAAGCAGTAATGGTTAACCAAAGACTCTAGTTACCTGGAAGATTCTGTAGCCAATGAGATGCTGCCAAGTACACTGTAACTTGAAAGCAACAAACTATATAATGTCACTATGTAAGACAATAAAATCACCACATACATCCTCAACCTTTGTGTGTGTGGTCTCTACACACCACATTACAAAAAAGAAGTTGAGACTTTGGAAAAAGGGAAGAGAAGGGCAACTAAGATGATTAAGGGGCTGGAGACTAAAACATATGAAGAACGGTTGCAGGATCTGGATATAGCTAGTCTAGCGAAAAGAAGGACTGAGTTGACCTGATAGCAGTATTCCAGTTTTTGAGAGGTTGCCACAAAGGAGAGGGGGTCAATTTATTGAAGGCAAGACAAACAATGGATGGAAATTAATTAAGGAGACAAGCAACCTGGAATTAAGGAGAAACTTCCTGACAGTGAGAACAATTAATCACCGGAACAGCTTGCCTATAGAAATAGTGGGCGCTTCATCACTGGAGTTCTTTAAAGAAGAGACTGGACAGCCACTTGTCTCAAATTGTTCAGGGTTTCCTTCTTTGAGCAGGTGGTTGGACTAGAAAACTTCCAAGTTCCCTTCCAGCTCTATTCTGATTGATTGATTGATTGAACATCTATGTGCTCGCTAAAAACTGATAATGGCTTGATGGCACATAATCAATCAATCATAGAGATAAATTCCAGGTATGGGATGTATTCATAGAGTGCCTACCTTTTGATATCCAAATTCTACTGAGTTGTCCTATTTCAGGATGTCTTCATTCTAATTGCTGATCTGGCATCAAAAGAAGTCCTCGCTTCTCCCAGGTTTCCAGCAAAGTGTGAACCCAGAAGTGGTCTTGGCTCAAGAAGAGTGAGACATCGATTCTTCAAGACATTCCTTATAAAGCCATTCAATTCTGAACCATTAGTTTTTGGCAGAACTCTGCAATCATTCTTAGTATCCAAAAGTCATCTTGTTTTCCTCTTTAAATTACCCTCAATGGGCAATTAAATTTCCTGTTTAAATTGCCCTTAATGGCTACCATCACAGAAGGAAAAGAAGCAAGAATGGGGAAAATTGGATCTCTGTTTTTTATTTCTTCCCTGGGGATGTCAAACACTGCAGAGCATCAAGTGCATGAAAGAAACAAGAGTATCAATAAAGGAGAATATTTGCAGCTCAGGGTTGAAATGAGAAGTCCGTGATGCTCTCTGATCTTGCAGATGTTTCATTACCAAAATGAGGTAACATCTAGTTAGCAGCACTGATGGAAACATCTAGTTAGCAGCACTGATGGAGAAGACGTTGGACAAAGAAGCAAGAAGATCAAAAATCAGAAAGTTGAGGGGGAAAGGATGGTGGATGGTGGAAACGGAGCTGACGAGAGAAGAAGACAAATTCAATGGGTACAAAACCTCATGCAGAGTCTAGGCACAAGACTGTTCTTTTTTTACCTTACATTGTGTTCAAGATATATTCCATGACATAATGGAATGGCAGAATTTGGAGACTTCCATTTTACATCTTCTCTATAAGGACCATACCAACACTCGTGATACATTCAAATCTGCCTTACTGTAAGTTGGATACTTGAAACTTCTTTGTTTTTTCATTTTGCTAATTTAATTCCTTTTAATGGAAGGCTAAATCTTTTGCAATTGGCTGTTTAATGCACTAATTCTCCTGGCCTATCTAAAATCATTTCCTTCCTCTATTAGGGGAGAAAATGCTTTACAATCAACATCTCTTTTCCACTGCTTATAGAAAATATGCTTTATTCATCAAAGAAACAAAAACACAAAGCTTTTAAATAGTGTAGCACCCATTATGGTTATCAGAAACTTCAAGCTAAGCAGGAAATTATATTTTCAAGAACATTTCCATTTAGATGCCCCAAAGGATCGCCCAGAAGCATTACTTTATTCCTTATGGATGGAGGCAAACTGTTATGGTCCACCAGCAGCCTGCGGAGCTGGCTGCGGAGTCGGACAGTGATGAGGTTGAGGAAGAACATAGGCCAGTCCTGGAGGCTGGGGAAGGCCCAGATGAGGGCTCTGCATCGGAGGCAGAGATGGGGCCAGGGCCATCGGGGAGTGAGGTGCTGACTCCGGAGCCTCCGGAGGCTGACATTAGAGAAGCAGAGGAACAGGAGGAGCCTGTTCCTAGTGCATGTATGAGAAGAGCTGCCAGAAGGCAAGAGCAGCTGCAGCAAAGAGGACGACTCAGGAGTAAGGCAAAGAGATGATTGGCCCCTCCCATAATGTTTAAAAGACCAGCAATGGCTCTTGGGCTCTTTGTTGGAAAAAACATTGATAGACTTGTTCTTGTCTTGTTGCACTTATCTCTTGTCGGCGTCTTCTGCTTCTGAAGTTTTGCCAAGAGAAGCCTTTGGCAATTTGCCTAATTATACCAAGGTTGGTGATTAGACTGAAGAATTTGTGTTATGAAGAATTTGTTTTGATTTAGCTTGGACTACGGTGAGAATGAGTTAATTCTCAGCTGTTCTAATAAAGTCTGTTTGTTTTGGAACTGTTTGCGTCGATTACTACCTACTTGGGCCTGGGTCACAACACAAACAACCACAAATCCAAGATTCATTGGACTCCACCTCTGCCCACGGTATGCATTAAAGAGGTTTCTCTCAATGTTCTCCTATAGCAGTGTTGGCGAACCTTTTCAGCACCAAGTGCCAAAATGGGAGCGCGTGTGCACGCACGGGGGAGCACCGTAAACCGGAAGAGCATTTTCCCCGGTGTACATGCACAGACCGGGAAGTTGAGCTTCCAGTTTCTGGCACGGGCATGCGTGCTGGTCACCTGGTCTTCCGGTTACTGGCATGCACACGCGTGCGAAGATCAGCTGACCGGCACGCACATGCAAAGCAGGGAGCTACTCTTCTGGTTTCCGGTGCTTCTGCTTGTGCGAAGACCAGCTGGCTGGTGCGCATGGAACCTGGAAGAGCAATGGGCGACAGCTGGCATGCCCAGAGAGATGGCTCTGTGTGCCACTTCCGGCATGTGTGCCATAGGTTCCCCATCACAATCCTATAGTTATCTTAAGGAAAGACAGGAAAATACAAAATAGCATGGCCACTGTGTTTCACCATGAGAAGCAAATTGACAAAGCAGCTTTGAGGTAGAACATCGAACATAGAATAACAAATTTGGAAGTCTTCTAGTCCAACCCCATGCTCACAGCAGGAGATCCTATACCATTCAATACAAAGGGCTATCTAGTATCTTCTTGAAAACCTCCAGAGTTGGAGCACCCACAACTTATGCAGGGAAGTTGTTCCACTGATTAATTCTTCTAACTGTCAGGAAATTTCTCCTTAGTTCTAAGTTGCTTCTCTCCTTGATTAGTTTCCACCCATTGCTTTTTGACCTACCCTCAGGTGCTTTGGAGAATAGGTTGATCCTTTCTTCTTTGGGGCAGCCCCTGAGATATTGGAAGACTGCTATCATGTCTCCCCTAGTCCTTCTTTTCATTAAACTAGACATATCTAATTTCTGCAACTGTTCTTCATACGTTGAGGAACATGTGGAGGAGCTGAGGAAGTTTCTTGAATCTCATTTAATGTTGAACTGAAAAAAAAACCCAGAATACTCAGGAATGCAGGTTACTGGAAGATCTTGAAGACAGATAAGAAGTTCCTTGATAATTTATTAACAACCAAAGCAAGTTAAATATTATGAAGTTATTATCAGCATGTCCACCAACTACAATTTGGGTGTCACCATGGCTGGGCTGTTACACAATGGTAATATTGTACTGGGAGCAGGTTACAAGAGTTGGAGGGGGGGCGAGGGTTGGCCCTGGGAGTTGATGATAAGAACTGTTCCAAGATACTTCAAATATCTGGGGCAGGCACTGTTCTGCCCCAGCTACAGACCCCAAAGAATGCAGCACACACAAAGTTTGTACAAACCTTAGTTTACTAAATTAAATAAGGTTTTTTCCCAAACAAAGGCTGTTAATTAACTTTCTTAACAGCCTACAAAAATCCAAAGAATAAATAATCTTAATCTTACTATGATTGGCAGAAAGCCCAGAAGCAATTTGCAAAGAACGAAGATCAAGACATGAAGGAGAGTGAACGAAGTTGTTCCCTGCAAATTGCTTCAGTCGGCGTTCCTCCTTAAATAGGTTAAGGGAGTGGCCAATTAGCCCCAAGCCTTACTCTCGAGGAGACCTCCTCCTGAGGAGCCACTCCTGCCTTTTGGCAGCTCTGCATCGAGAAGAGGCTCCTCCTCTTCATCCTCTTCACTTAAAGGAGCTTCTGGAGGTTCTGAAGGCCCTGGCTGAATCCCACACCTCCGGTGTGTCTTGCAGTCTGAAAAATGTGGTAAAACGGTTTTGTTTTTTCAGACTTTTATTAAGCAATTTTTTCTCTGTGTCATAGCACTTTTCTCATACATTCTAACAGTATTTATATTAGAATTAATAAGCTCTGGATGCAACTGACAACACCTTAATCAGTTACCCACTGAAGGCGAACAGGTAGCCCTACCACATGTTCTTCAATGTGCATCTCCCATTATGTGCCTCTATACACACTTGCAATCCCTTCTTCTCCAAAGAATGTAAATGCAGATATTCAACAATTATTGTATCCTCCTTCTTTCCCCCACTTTTCCTCTTGTCTAATTGTTCATCTGTCCTTTGCCCTAATCCTAATCCTAACTTTAACCCTAACCCAGTAACCCTACTCTGCCCCTCAGCCAGAGTGAATAATAATGGGGATTGGTAGGAAACATTGATTTTAGGACTGTAGTTACCATCAAATAGTCAAAAATCAGATATCTGTAAGTAAAAAAACAACAACTGTGTGTATGCGTGTTTGTCAGTTTGTGTGTGTGTGTGTGTGTGTGTGTGTATGTTTGTATACATTTCTGTTAGAAGGACTGATTCAATTTTGGTCTCTTTTTGTTGTCAGGATAAATGCAGAAGATGAACTCATTCCGAATACTCTTAAACCTGTTGTGAGTGATCCCAAACTTGTGGGAAATGCTTCCAATATTACCGGAATACCAGAAATTTATCCTTATCCATATGAGCAACTCTCCAATAATTTAACACGAAACCTTATCAATGGCGTTATTGCCTTTATTTGCATTTTAGGCCTGGTGGGAAACGGAAGGACAATTTATCTCCTGGCCTATTCCATTAAAAGGAATCCTTTCACCACTTTCATCCTGAATCTCTCCATCGCTGATTTTGGGGTCCTCGCATCCCTCATTATTGCAGCAATCTTTGTGACGGTGTTGTCCCTGGGTCAAAGAACGTACGTTGTCAAAACTTTTTTCTTCTTATTTTTCGAGCTGTTTTCCTTCACTTATTCCGCCAGCCAGTTTCTGCTGACGGCCATCAGCCTGGACCGGTGCGTGTCAGGTATAAATGCTCTGCCCGTTCCAGGGATCAGCTATAGCTCAGTAGTGCAAGGGTTAACCCAGACACCCACCTGGTCAGCTCCTCCCATAGACCCCTCCTTACCTGAATCCCCGCCCACAGGTATAAAAGGTGGGCACACTCCTCCATGTTGCAGATCCTAATGTAACCAAGTGATGATATGATGAACCTGCAAATAAAAGAGAGATATTTTATTTGATGACTCAAGTCTCTTTATTGGGCCTGATCCACCATTCCTCGTAACAAAATGGTAGCAGAGGATGGTTGGTAAGGCCCAGAGATCCCAAGCCAGAAGACAAGGACCCATACCTACCTGCAGAATGGCGACACCCCCGAAGCAATGGGAAAGCAACCCATCGGACTCGCCAGGGAAGGCAGGAACCTCAACCACCCCCAAAGCCACCGCGACGGAAGAAAGGAGGGAGATCGAGAAAGGGAAAAGGGCCCACCACTACGACCAAGAAGAAGAGAAGCTGCGACTCGACGTCCTGCAGCTGTTGAAAGAGCGAGCCGGCGACAAGAACCTCCTTGCCGACCTGCGGAGCTTCATAATCGACCGCGAGGTGGCAAGGAGCGAAGAGGGCTCGGACTCCGAACTCGAGGAGCTGGACTCGGTGAGTGGATCGCCCAAAAGGGCACCCCCAACGGCCACCGAGCCCCAAAGCCCCGCTCTAAATTTGAAACGGTGGCCATCTTTGTCCACGTGGTCGGACAAGATGGCCGACCCCCAACCAATCAGCAAACAGAATTCAAAATGGCCGGCGCGCGAAAAATGCCGGACCATGAGCCATGATGAAAGTGACCGGGGAGAGGGGACTGAATCCGACTCCGACCCCTGGTACACCCCCAGCGAGCGGCAAGTGGATAGGGCCATGAAGACCCTTGCCGCCGCCTTCGGCCCAGGCCTCAAAATCACTAAAGAGAAGCTGGAGAGGCCAAAACAAAAGGGAAGATGAGGAGAGGGGCAACGAAGCACCACCCGAGAGCCACCGACGGCCGTGACAACTCGCCAGCCCACCTTCGCACCCCAGGGACACCGCGCCTCCGATCGCCCAGGCCGCACACCCCGGACCGCATGGATTGGGGCAGCTACTTACAGCCATCGCCGGAGCCCCAGCACCACCAGGATCTTCATTCCAGAGAAGCAGCTGCTGGACGACGCCTTCCGGAGCACACCTGGACCCCCAAGGCCGAAGCCGAGGCCTACCCGACCGGCAGAGGCCTCTACAGCGGAGCCGCGATGAACAGGTCCTTCCACAGCGACGGCGGAGCTGAAATGGACTTCGCGCATGCGCTCTTCCACCTAGAGGAAGAAAAAAGAAAAAAATTACAAAGCGGGACTTTTAAACTACCGGCAAGCGTTCCCATGCCTTACTGCTGCTATAGACACATAAGGAACCATGGACAGCAGCCAGCAGTAAGTAATTTTACTACTAGTGCTGGGAACTTACCTGTTGACTTTCACAAGTTGAGGATGGATGGGGGTAATATCCTAGAGTGGTCACAGCAGCTCCAGGTAGTATTCCTAAAAGAAAATATGTCTCATTTTATTAATGACCCCCCAGAGAGACCATGGACTTTAGAGCTGGATTGCATGCACCATAGGGCATTCTATCTCTTGATTGCCAGCATATCCCCCACAATTTACCACTGTATAGGCCATAACCTCACAGTATCAGAAATTATAGGAAAAATGTTTGGGTTATTTTACAGTGAGAGTGTGTCCACCACCACCCAAATTTCCAAAGACTTCTTTTCTGCCAGGCTTAAACCAGGGACCCCCATGAGTGAGCACCTAGTGTCATTGAGCGGTACCAGAGCAGAGCTACACCTTAGGGGGGAAGTTATTTCCGACCAAATTATGAAAAGCGTGATAATCAACTCTTTAGACCACTCATGGAATAACTTCTTGACACACTTAGACACCATTAGTCTATGGATGCTATCCGTGGAGAAGCTATCCAACAAGCTTATCGCGGAAGATAATCTGAGGAGGAGCCGCCCCGGCCCTCCCAGAGAACACAAGAGTGAGAAGAGAGTAGTCTTCCAAGAGAAACAACACAACACGCCAGAGTGCTACATCTGCGGGTCGAGGGGACACATCAAAAGGGACTGCCCCAAGAACTATAGGGAGAGAGGCAGGCCAGAGCATAGGTACAGACAAACGGAAAGGCACACATCCGAAGAAAGGTATAGGCGTAGAGACTCGCCCATTCCCAGGGATAAGAGGGGGAACAGAGACAGCTCACGCGACAGCAGGACAGGGTCTCTATATGGGATAGGGGAGCACACACACACCACACACCAAGACAAAGACACCAGCTCATGGCTCCTGGACTCGGGAGCCTCCAACCACACCACCTACAACCAGAAACTACTCTCATCATTCAAGAGGGAGGACTTTTCGATCAAAGTTGCGGACCAAAACCAGGTTAGAGTAACGGGCAAAGGGACAGTTACATTACCAGGCGTAGGGAAAATAGAGGGGGTACTGCTAGTCCCGGAGATACCCCACAACATCCTGGCCGCAGTAAAGCTTAGCAAGGAATCAGGGGTTGAGGTGACCTTCACAAAAGGCAATGTCAAAGTTAGCAAGGATGGGGAAGATGTAGGAAGAGTAACCGTTAACCAAGGGTTACCTTACATAACTTTCTATGAGGATTACACCCACAGCGTAAACACCAGTTCAGAGAACGCAGAGGACACTGACCAAGACAGGACTGAGGGTGAACAGGTAGACGGGAGAGAGATAGATAGCGATGATAACACGACACCAGAAACACAACACAACAAACACACCCAAAGGAGGCCCTCAATAGGCAAACCAATACATGACGACTGTGCCCATCTGCTGCACCGGAAGCTTGGACACGCCAGTTTTCCCGTGATACAGAAAATGGCCAATTGTACCGAGGGTGTCAAAATAAAAAACTGTGAAAACTACCTCGAGTGCTCGGTGTGCAAGTGTTCAAAACTAAAGGTAAAACCCAGACCCAAGAAGTCGTTACGTGCCGCCAAACAAATATTCGACTTAGTACACATGGACCTGGTAGGGCCCCTAAGGCCATCCATAAATTATAAGAAAAGGTACTTCCTTACCATAGTGGATGACTATAGTCGATATGGCTTCGTCTACACCTTAAAAAAAAAGGATGAGGCCTTCCAAAAATTCAAAGAGTTTTATAAAAGAGTAGAAACCCAAAACAACAAACAAATCAAACAAATCATGACTGACAGAGGGTCTGAGTTTCTATCTAAGGACTTCTCCCATTGGCTCAGGTCCAAAGGCGTGATTCACTTTACGTCGTCCCCGTTTTCCGCCTTTCAGAACGGGGTCGTAGAACGACGGAACTCCACGCTGCAAACGATGGTCAGGTGCGCCTTAGAGGACGCAGGCATTGGCCAACACTTCTGGTCTGAAGCCCTGGTCTACTCCAACTACACACTAAATAGAACGTGGTCCAGTGTGATAGACAAAACACCATACGAGATCATGTATAACAACAAACCACAGATAGCACACCTACATGTGTTCGGTGTGACTGCTGATGTACACATACCCAAGCAGTTGCGCAAGAAAGGGGATAAGGTATCCAGAAGGCTGAGGTTTATGGGATACGAACCAGGAACCAAGGGCTTCAGGTTTGTGGACAGCAACAATAGGTTTGTGGTCTCTAGGACAGCGGCATTCCATGAGCAAGCCAACTGGTCCAGAATACACTTAAACGAGGTACCCACCAAGCGAGAGGATAGTCCGATTGAGCAAGCTCAAAACAAAGGCGAGACAGTGAATGGACAGGAAGAGAGCAGGCCCAAGCCCGATATCCAAGGTGTTAGGGTTGAGGGATGGAAGGAGAATCATCCCAAGATAAATATAGACTCACTGACACAAAGAGAGGCCAGATACCTACATGATGCTGAACAGACAGTAGACAGACCGGTCAGGTCAACCAGAAATCAGCTACCAAGGAGGCTAAATGATTACGTGATGCACGTGCACACGAATCACATTACACCAAACTCCTATGAAGAGGTATTGAGGCTACCCCAGGAAGAGAGGACAAAGTGGGAGCTAGCCATGGCCAAAGAACTGGATAGCCTGAGGAAGCTAAAGGTCTACACCCCATCCAAAGTCCCAGAGGGCAAGAGCGCAATAGGCACCCGATGGATCTTCAAGGTCAAGAACTTAGAGGGTGGCCAAAGCCTATACAAAGCAAGATTAGTCGCCCAGGGGTTTGCTCAAAGGTTTCCAGAGGACTACACTGACACATATTCACCCACCGTAAGGACAGAGAGCGTCAAAAGCGCCTTGGTCATTGCATCCCTGCTAGGGCTGGAGGTGCACCAGTTTGACGTGCAGACCGCCTACTTGCACGCCAACCTAGATAAAGAAATATACATCAGAGCGCCCCACAGCAAAGAAACCAGCAGGGGGGACACCTGGTTACTTCACAAGAGCCTGTACGGGCTAAAGCAATCGGGCAAACGCTGGTACGAATGCCTGGTAGAGGCCCTGAAGTCTATGGGATTCACGGCGACCATAGCGGACAACTGTTTCTTTACCAAGAAAGAGGGGGACTCACCAGAATACATCCTAGTTTACGTGGATGACATACTGTATATCAGTAAACACGAAGGAAACCGCGACACCTTCGCCAGCAGACTGGGCAAACACTTCACCCTAAAATACCTTGGGAGGATAAATCGGTACCTAGGGGTACAGGTCAACCAAACACCAAAAGGTTTCCAACTGTCACAGAAAGAGAAAATAGAAGAATTACTCCATAAGTGCAACATGGCAGACGCCAAGGGATGTGATTCACCCATGCAGACGGACTTTCAAAAAAACATGCATGATGAATCACCCGGATTTGAAGACAACACACTGTACAGGTCAGTCATAGGCTCCCTCCTATATATCGCTAACTGGACAAGACCGGACATTGCTCTTTCAGTTAATTTATTGTCCAGGCACGTAAGCAAACCCACCACATACCACTGGGATGCGGTGAAAAGAGTGCTAAGATACCTCAAACAAAGTGCCAATGCATGCCTAACCCTAGAACCTGAAAAATCCGACGAACCCATCCTCTCCTGCTACGCCGATGCCGACTGGGCCGGAGATACCAAAGGCCGGAAAAGCACGTCTGGGTACATATTCTACCTAAATAACAGTCCGGAGCATTGGTACACAGGTAAACAAATTTTGGTGGCAACCTCGACTACTGAAGCTGAATACATATGCCTCTCCAAAGCCGCCAACAATCTCATCTGGTTCGACGACCTACTCGCCAGCGTGTGGAGAGAACCAGCTTACCCAATAAATATCTACGAAGATAACAAAGCCGCCATAGAGATATCCATGTCCGACGCTGTAGGGCAAAGGTCAAGGCACATAGACATAAAGTATAAGCACGTTAGACAGCTCTCCAGAATCGGTTTCATAAAGGCCATACACTGCGATACAGAAGAGCAGACCGCAGACATACTCATGAAACCCCTACAGGGCAAGCAACACTCACACTTAGTTTCCAAGCTCAACATCCACCCCAGGGTACCAACCAGTCACTCAGGCCTACAGACACGGGTCAGGCATTTAGAGGGGGATTTGTCAGGTATAAATGCTCTGCCCGTTCCAGGGATCAGCTATAGCTCAGTAGTGCAAGGGTTAACCCAGACACCCACCTGGTCAGCTCCTCCCATAGACCCCTCCTTACCTGAATCCCCGCCCACAGGTATAAAAGGTGGGCACACTCCTCCATGTTGCAGATCCTAATGTAACCAAGTGATGATATGATGAACCTGCAAATAAAAGAGAGATATTTTATTTGATGACTCAAGTCTCTTTATTGGGCCTGATCCACCATTCCTCGTAACAGTGCGTGGCTGTCCTTTTCCCTCTCTGGCATCGCTGCCATCGTCCCCCAAATCTGTCCACTCTTGTTTGTGGCTTCATCTGGATCATCTCCTTCCTGCTGTCTGCGGTGCACTTCATTCTGTATCAAACCAAGAGCTTTGGAAGTTCTCGTTTTCTTTACCAGCTGATTGTGAATGGTTTACTTTGTACGCCTCTCATGGTTTTGTCCACTGTGACTCTCTTGATTCATATGAGGTCTAAAATGCAACGCAATCAAAGGAAACTTCTCACCACCATCTTTCTGGCTCTCCTCTTCTTCCTCCTTTTTTCTCTCCCAATGGATGTCTTTTATGTCATTGAATATTTTGTTTCCTATAATCCCCTCCTCATGACCGTTGGGATAGGATGTACAGCTCTCAACAGCAGCATCAACCCACTCCTTTATTTCTTAGTGGGGAGGAAGAAGAGAGGAAAAGATCAGCCCAGAGCATCTTACAAGGTTGCTCTGCAAAGAGTCTTCAAGGATGAGAAGGGAAGCACGGAAGAGCAGGAAACCATGAAGGAAAGCCAGTTATAAAGAGTCATAAATATTGCATATAAAATATTTTAAGGTACAAGCTTATTTGGGACATCACATGTGCTTTCCTTAAGAACATACAGATGTGATAAAATTTACTGAGCAAAGTCCTGTAGGAAGTTAGCACCCACCCCTCTCCTGGAAGAGTGAAATATTTTAGGAAATATGAAAAAGGCAGAATATTATATTTCCCTGGGATAAGCATGTTTTGAAGCAGCTCCCATCTTCCTGCCCCCCACCCTTTGTCAATGGGCCATTAAGGCTTGGGCCAGTCTATTCTACATAACAAAGATCTACCTCCTTCAGGCAGAGCCATAGTAGGAATTGCCAAAGATAGGATTAGCCCTCTACACAATAGCAGTAGAAACTCACCACATGTGACCTGGGAAGCACATCTGACCATCAGCCAGCAAGGCCCCCACCCCCTGGGAGTCTGACAACCAATCAGGATACTCTTTTGGGGCCCCAAGAAATGCAGAGCCAGAGAGAGCATAAAAACCCGAGGATTTACTGTATCTGCCCTTTTCTGTTCAGGAACTCAAGCCATGTGATCCTGTCCACTATTAAACCATCTTTCCAAGCAGTCTCCATGTTTCCAGTGTCTGTTTCCCCACTTGGAGCAGAACCTAGAAGGATGTTTCTTCCAACAGTCCTTAAAAACAAAAACTATGTAAACAGAAAGTGTTGCTGTGTCCTCATTTTTTATCTGTAGAACTTGTTCAAGAGGAAATGTTTTAGCTGATATAGGGGAACAATGCAGGAGAAGAAAAATGTAATTAAATAAATAAAGTAGCTAATCCAAAAACAACATAAATAGAAAAATACTGGTGTATATGTAATTTTGAAAATGAAACATGACAAAAAAATAAAATAATTTTTTTTAACAAAAAATGCATCTACTTACCTATAACCCAGAGAAACAACAGAGTCGAGTTTGGATGTATACATATACATGATAAAAAAAGAATCCTGCAAATTTACAGACGAATGGTGTAAGGAATAAAGCTGTTACAGTATCTACCATAGCAATCCTGCTATAGGTACTTCAAAATTTCCTCCCAGAGGGGAACAACAGAAATAGGCCGTGAAGTGGGTGAGCGGGGTCTCTAACAATACTTCGAGCTCTAAGTACATAGCGGTTATAAGCAGTATCCTGAATAACAGGAAGTGAGATCTCCTATAATCTTCTCGGCTGTCCTCACCACTCTCAGTCGTTGTCTGGGCTCCAACACTGATCAATGTGTACTCCATGGAGGTTCTACACAGACCTGCTATGAAGATCATCTCCTTGTTTCTCTTAGGATATAGCTAGGTACCGTATTTGTCGGACTATAAGATGCACTCTCCGCCCTCTCCAAAAAAGTGGGTGGAAATGTCTGTGCGTATTATAGAGCGAATGTTGCTGAAGCCCCGCCCACCCACTGGCAGTGGTGAAATCCAATTTTTTTTACTATTTGTTCTGTGGGCGTGGCTTGGTGGGTGTGGCAGGGGAAGGATGCTGCAAAATCTCCATTCCTACCCCATTCTGGGGCCAGCCAGAAGTGCTATTTGCCGGTTCTCAAAATTTCCACTACTGGTTCTCCGAACTGCTCAAAATTTCCGCTACCAGTTCTCCACAACCCATCAGAACCTGCTGGATTTCACCCCTGCCTGCCGGCCCCCACACTTCGGCCTCTGCCTCCCAGCAATTTTGCTCCTTGCAACAAACAGCAAACAGCCTGGTCAGATTTAGCACAAGCAGTTGATTGGTGGTTGGATCAGCCTCCCGGAATACTGATGATTAGCTGTTCCAGGCTGCGGGGATAACCCCCGCCTATTGCCCCCTCCGCACAACCCATTTTCGGCCTCCGTGCCAGTGGTGGGTTCCTCCCGGTTTGGTCCGGTTCGGCCGAGCCGGTAGCGGTGACGATATGACGTCACCGAACTGGTTCTCTCCCCCCCCGCCCTCCCCCCCACATTATTCTTACCTTTTATTTGGTCCCACCCGCAATCTATTGCTGCCTCCTGAGTCCCAGCTGATGACTAGAGGGGAAAAAACTGTTTTAAACTCTTGCCGCGGGGCTTCAAAGGGCCGCCCTACAGCTGATCAGTGTTAAAAGAAAACAAATGAGTCGGGTCATAAGTGCAGGGACTGGTCGTAAGTGCGAGGACCTTCCAGAAATGACTCTGACCAGCTAGCCACGCCCACCTAGTCACATGACCTCCAAACCACACCCACAAAATAAGCCACGCCCACAGAACCGGTAGTAAAAAAATTTAGAACCCACCCCTGCTCCGTGCATCCCGTTTTCCACACGTCCCGTTCGGTGGCGATAGACCATTTTTGAAATGGGCCAAAAACGGGATGCACAGAGGCCAAAACTGGGGCTCCAACACTGATCAATGTGTACTCCTGTGCCTTATGCTCATATCAGCCAGTTTTCTTCCTAGCTTCACTCTAGAGCATTTTACACCAAACCATTTGTGCACTTGAGAATGAAACCGAGTTACATTTCTATCAGCATTGCTAGCTATATTGAGAATATGCAGACATCCACAGCTTCCTCCAAAGCTGGAGTATCAAACTCAAGGCCTGTGGGATGTATCTGGCTCACGGGGTGCACAGATCTGGTCCACGGGCCTCGCCTTGGAAACAGCAAAGGACCAGCCTGCTGCTTCTGCCAGCAAAAATGGAGCTCAAGAGTAGCTTTTTGTAGTATCCTTCCCGTGGAGTGGGGTGGGAATGGAGATTTTGCAGTATCCTTCCCCTGGAATGGGGAGGGAATGGGGATTTTGCAGTATCCTTCCCCTGGAGTGGGGTGGGAATGGGAATTTTGCAATATCCTTCCCCTGGAGTGTGAGGAAATGGGGTTTTTGCAGTATCCTTCCCCTGGAGTGGGGTGGGAATGGAGATTTTGCAATATCCTTCCCCTGGAGTGGGGTGGGAATGGGGATTTTGCAGTATCCTTCCCCTGGAGTGTGGAGAGAATGGAGATTTTGCAGTATCCTTCCCCTGGAGTGTGGAGGGAATGGGGATTTGCAGTATCCTTCCCTTGGAGTGAGGAGGGAATGGGGCTTTTGCAGTATCCTTCCCCTGGAGTGGGGTGGGAATGGGGTTTTTGCAGTATCCTTCCCCTGGAGTGGGGAGAGAATGGAGATTTTGCAGTATCCTTCCCCTGGAGTGTGGAGGGAATGGGGATTTGCAGTATCCTTCCCTTGGAGTGAGGAGGGAATGGGGCTTTTGCAGTATCCTTCCCCTGGAGTGAGGAGGGAATGGGGCTTTTGCAGTATCCTTCCCCTGGAGTGGGGAGGGAATGGAGATTTTGCAGTATCCTTCCCCTGGAGTGTGGAGGGAATGGGGATTTGCAGTATCCTTCCCTTGGAGTGAGGAGGGAATGGGGCTTTTGCAGTATCCTTCCCCTGGAATGAGGTGGGAATGGGGATTTTGCAGTATCCTTCCCCTGCCACGCCCACCAAGCCACCATGCCCACAGACCCGATAGTTTTAAAAAAAAAATGGGATTTCACCACTGCTTTAAAACCTCCAGCCCTTTCAACCTCGCCCGAAGCAGACACCGCTCTCTCTCCAGGACCCGACCTGGAAGTCCAACCCGGGCATCCTTCTCACGACCCCCTCGCCCAGAACTTTCCTCCCTTCGCTCGGGGACGCAGCCATCGGACCTCCCACGGGCCAAGACTGAGGATTGCAACGGGTCGGGGCGGAAGGGGGGGGGAGAGAGACAGAAGGGGGCTAGTTCGTGATGCTCCCCGGGTCGTGTGAACGCAGGAGCCGGTTATCCCGCGACACGCAAAGCGGCTCCCGTTGGGCGGCGTCCCAACCTTCCTCTCAAACGGTTCAAGAGCCGGAGCCTGGCGGGCAGGAGAAATCGGGTGGGGTCTGTGCAAAAAACACCGTCGTGTAAGCTCACTATTGCACGGTGGCCAGAAGGAGGCTGGGCTTCTTGCGCCGCCTTTATAAACCAGCTCCGCTCCTTCTTTCCTCACTTCGGAGCGGAGCTTTCTTCGGCTTGCAAGGCGGAGAGGAATCGTGGGAGAGCCGCGTTGGGAAGATGCTCTCCGACGGGCAAAAGGGATGGGAGGGGGCTTGGAAGACACCCACCCACCCACCACCCATCGGACGAGAGATCTGGAAGGTCTTGACTCCGGAGCGCACCGCCCTTCAAGGATCGGCCAGCCAGCTGTGTTAACGAGACAGGGGACCAGCCAGATGTTCGAGATGGGAGAAAAAAAAAATAAATCTGGATTATTAACAGCCGTAACCATCAGCAAGCCTCGTCTTGGCATCTGGGATCGCTCTCGTGGCAGGGAAGGAATATAACAACCTGGTAAAAGCCTGGCTTGAGTTTTCTTCGCATGGCAGAGGATCAGGGGTGGAAATCCAGCAGGTTCTGCAGAACCGGTAGTGGAAATATTGAGTAGTGCGGAGAAGCGGCAAATACCAACTCTGGCTTGTTGCGGATTTGATAAGAGCAACGCAACTTTTCAGGGTTAATCAGAGACAATTTGTATATATATATATATATTTTAATTTGATTTATATGCCGCCCTTCTCCAGAGACTCAGGGCGGCTTACAGTGCGTTAAGCAATAGCCTTCATACTTTTGTATATTTATACAAAGTCAGCTTATTGCCCCCACAAACTGGGTCCTCAATTTACCTACCTTAGAAAGGATGGAAGGCTGAGTCAACCTTGAGCCTTGGAGAGATTCGAACCAGCAGTAAATTGCAGGCAGCTGTGTTAATAACAGGGTGCTTTAAACCACTGTAGTACCAAGGCTATATTGTGCAATAGGTTCAAAGCTCTGTACATGAAGCGTTGAACGAAGACAGAAATTAACTACAATATATAAATATAAAGTCACTCGGGTTTTTTTTTTTCATATACAGAAATACTTATTAATGATGGGGGCAGATGGTAATTGAAGATACTGAATATACTGTTGGAAGCAGGACTTGATGTTACCCTAACATGGTCGATGGAATTAACAATCTAGTTGAAAGACATTACAGAAGATACCATATGGAATACAAATTTAAAGTCATTTGAGGGTCTTATTTATATATGGAAATATCTTTTAGTGATATGGGCAGAAGAATAAAGATATTAAATATATTATGTATGGTAGACCTGTAGGAAGAAAAGGGATGCTATGTTTAGATATTAATATACTTAAAAGATTTGAGTTAAGAGATATACGTATGGGGGTGGATTATGAGTAGAACAAATGCCAAATTAGGATTTATTGTATAGTTTCATAGCCGAATGTTGTTTGAAACGTATAGTATGCGGGGGACATAATAACAATGTTAGAAAGAAATGTTTAGCACATAGGGGTTGGTGTAAAAGGGTGGTAAAGTATTATATAATGTGATATTAATTTGGATCTCATCTTGCAGAAGCCATGGGGGAGGGGAGGGGAGGGGGAATGGGGGTTAGGGAGTGGGGGGGTGGGAAAGGGGGAAAATTTGTATTTGAAAAACTTTTTCAATAATAATAAAAAAAGTTAACTACAATGATTTTTATACCCTTCTAGACAAAGGATTCTGTTAACTCAGAAGTTTATGTGATCATATACATTTGTCATTTTTAATTGACACTTCCTAATTACTGTTTCATTTTATTCTTTGCCAACTGTCATAATTCTTTTTGTAGATTACTGAAGCATAGACTCAAATCATCTTCTGACGATAGACAACTTTTAACTCATGTGGATCCCCTTGACCTAACCAACCTTTAAGCTGTATGTCATTAGAATGTTCCTTTCTTCTGACAACTTAGAGGCTTCCTAGAGGTACCAAAAGGATTTTGGCTGAGTTTGTACTTTTTCCAACCGGATGCATTGCTTTTTAGAATAGAGTGAATAGAAAGTTATCCAGTGGTCATCTATCAGAGCCCGCTTCATTTACATTAGGCTGGCCCAGGAATGGGATGGGAATGGAGATTTTGCAGTATCCTTCCCCCTGCCATGCTCACCAAGCCAGACTCACAGAACCGATAGTAAAAAAAAAATTGGATTTCACCACTGCAAGAGGATGGATGTCCCTAACGCAAAAGGAAGTTTTAAAAAAGAGGAATTTACGTTCCTGTTTTTTTCTTTCTTTCTTTCTTTGCCCTCGGAGCAATTTTTTTCACCACTTCTTCTTCTTTGGAGAACTTTTTCGCCCTGTTAATGGAGTTTCCTCCCTTTTAATGGAGTTTCCTTCCCAGAAAATCTGGCATTTGCACATTTTCAGCATCCCGTGAAGATTGTTTTTTTTTATTTTATTTTCCTGGGCTTTTTGAATTGACTTGGACTTTAATTTCATTTTGAATGGCTGTCTTGCAAGCTGCCTGGTTCTCATGACAGTTTTATTCTGCACTTACTTGCTTTTATTGTTACAGGGTGGTGGTTTGTTTAAAAAAAGTTTTATTGTAAACAACCTAAAGTACTTTGATCATTGGTCAAGCTGAAACTTGAAATAACGTTTTATGCCATTTTCCCCTCTCTCATCTAATCTAATGTTCTTCGGGATAATATTCTAGATCTGGACCCCGGGAGGGGTGGGTCTTGGGGAACCCCAGGGGGGCTTAAACCCACACTTTTAAAAATGTGCTTTAGTCAGTAAAAGTCAAGCTGAACTTTTAAATGCATTTAGCAAATAGGAGAGGACAGATTTCATGAGGTTAATTTATTTAGTGTAAACACTGTTAGCCATTATTTAGAATGGGGTTAGAGAGTGGATTCTGATGGAAGTTGCTGCAGACACTTACCGTAGTTAGTAGCAGGAAATTAAGGCCTCGGGGGCTCCTTTGAGGCATCACAACAGAATTGCAGGAACGAAGAAAAGGAAGGAAGGAAGAAAAAAGAAGAAAAAGGGAAAAAGAAGGAAAGAAGAAAAAGGGAAGAAGGGAAGGAAGGAAGGAGAAGTAAAAAAAACAGGAAAGAGAAGGAAAGAAGGAAAAGGAAGGAAGAAAAGGAAGGAAGGAAAAAGAAGGATTTTTTTCTTTTAAATGCCTCTGACGATCCAAGCTGAGCAGTGCGATCATCAGAGACTTTTTTTCTTTTACTTTTAAAAGCATTTTTTCGGCCGAAGAGGTTGTAGAAAAAATGCTTTTAAAAGTAAAAAAAAAAGCCTCTGATGATTGTGCGGTTCAGCTGGGCATGGGGGAGGCAGGGATTTTTGCTACCGGTTCTCCGAACAACTTGCCTCCATCGCTACCGGATCGGGCAATCTGGTCCGAACCGGGAGCATTTCACCCCTGCTCATAATGCTTTGAACATTTGACCTCAGTTTCTTAAACTCTTTACCACTAAATTGGTACAATTTGACCTAAAGCAATCTTAAAATCATATTCTGAATTAAATCCCATTGAAATGGCACCAGGAAAATCAGTATTATTTAAGTCAAGCTGGAGTTGGGAGCCCACCAACTTCCTAGTCACTTTATCCTGGAGTGGAAGATTAGAGATTGTAAAATTACACTACACTTACATCGCCTCTCATCTTAAACCCCTTCTCCATGTACTAATCCTAACCAATCATTTTTTTAAAAAAAAAATCAATTTAAAGAGAACTTGGTGTTGGTATTTTTCTTAGCTCTCCCTACTTGGTTTTGACCAACATAGAATTGAGTACAGTGGACAAAGTATTATACGATCTCTCTGGCTACGATCTTGGAGTAATAGAAGAGTAATTTCAAAGAAGAGGAAGCTCATTCTTGGCAGGTAGAAAAGAAAAGTGGGAACCATCCAGCATTACTGTGGCACAGTGATTAGAATGCAATATTGCAGGCTATTTACTGCTGGCTGCTTGCAATTTGGCAGTTCGAATCTCACCAGGCTCAAGGTTGACTCGGCCTTCCATCCGTCCTTTGAAATGTGGATCTCAGGGTCCAGAGGCAAACACATGACTTCTACACAACACTTATTTCTTATTCATTTATTTGCTAAATTTACATCCTTCCTTTCTGTTTATTCAACATTTAAGATGTTCATTCATTCAAGAGATAAAAATAGAAAATACAAACCATAAAAATAGATGACTACAATTTTAATTAAATCAAAACCGGTCTTGAAATCAACCGTGCAATATATTTTTAAACATGCATGACATACTAATAAAAACATATATCTATTTTCTTACTTCTTCGTAGGGTTTATGTGTGTTTTTCCTCTAGCCAGGTTTTCCCTACGTAACCAAGGTTTTTCTGCAGCCCTAGCTCAGTAGAATCACATCCACTCGATTCTGGGATTTTTTCTTTTCTAGCAGCCAGCAAGGAAGAACTTGCTGGCTACTAGAAAAGAAAAAAGCCCAGAATCGAGTGGATGTGATTCTACTGAGCTAGGGCTGCAGAAAAACCTTGGTTACGTAGGGAAAACCTGGCTAGAGGAAAAACAAATATATATATATATATATATATATATATATATATATATATTCTGCATCCACTCAATATATATATTGAGTGGATGCAGAATTACATTTTCAGAATCACCAATCAATTCTCACTAGTAAATGAACTTTGCTGAGTAACTGACGGTGAGGGTAATATATCTAGGAACAACAGGTTGAAATAGTGTTTGGACCATTTTGATTTATGCCTGCAGGCAAACAAACATCAGGTGCAGAAATTTGAAGATAAAAACCATTCATCTAGCTCGGTGATGGCTAACCTTTTTGCCATTGCGTGCCAGGAGCGGGGGAGGGGTCACGTGCGCATACGTGCCCACACTCATAATTCTATCTATGTGCGCCACCCCCATGCATGCACACGCAACCCGCCCCCCCCACTCCTGGCCCGTTTTTCTCTCTCCCCAGGCTCCAGACCCTTTCTGGGAGCTTGGGGAGGGCGAAAACGGCCTTCCCCACACACACCCTGGAAGCCCTCTGGAGGCCAGAAATCGCCTGTTTGCCAACTTCTGGTGGGACTGGAAGGCCTGTTTTTTGCTCTAGAAAGGCTCTGGAGCCTGGGGAGGGCAAAAACGGCCTTGCCCACCACCCCCAGAGGCTCTCCGGAGGCAGGAAACAGACTGTACCCCTACTTCTGGTGGGCCCACAAGGTCTGAAAATCAGCTGGCCGGCATGCGCATGTGCCCTGGAGCTGAGCTTTTGTGCCCACCGATATGGCTACACGTGCCACCTGTGGCAGGCGTGCCATAGGTTCGCCATCACGGATCTAGCTTCTCGGCTAATTACCAAGATTGAAGAAAAGTTTAAGCCCTTTCACCCATGAGTTGTTTCATCAAGTCATCTCAACAAGAACTGTACAACTGAGCTCTGGTGGCTCAGCAGACTAAAAAGCACTGTTATTAACATCCACTTACATCTGCTGCCTGCAATTACTGCAAGTTCAAATCTCACCAGGCTCAAGGTTGACTCAGCCTTCCATCCTTTCTAAGGTAGGTAAAATGAGGACCCAGATTATGGAGGCAATAAAGTGACTTTGTATAAATATACAAAAGTATGAAGGCTATTGCTTAACGCATTGTAAGCCGCCCTGAGTCTCTGGAGAAGGGCGGCATATAAATCAATTTTTTTTAAAAAAAAAATGACTTAGAAATTACTGTTACAATTGAGAAAATGACAGACTCATTTCCTAATCTCCTTGGCATTACATTTTTGGCAATACTGGATTTGCCAGAGGAGGTTTCTCTGAATTAATTATCATGTTCCTGGCAAGGCGGTATAGAAATATGATATATATTTTTTTATCACTCTCGTGAGTACATCATCACTGGTTATCAACCTGGACCTCTAGCTGGTTTCCATTCTCTTCTTCTTCCTCCTTGAAAACTCTCTGGAGGATAATGTTTAGGTTGCATCTAGAAGGATGTTCCATCTTTCTCCCCAGTAGAAAATAGATCAGCGGGTTAACACTGCTGTTTAGACAGGCACATAGGTAGCCATATGTGATTAAATTGCCATACCTGTGCTTGAAAAGAGTCTCATTGAGATAAATGGCACTTGGCGGAATAGAAAAGATGAGGAAGAAAAACAGGGCCAGCAAAATGACTTTGAGAAGCCTTCCTCGCTTCTGCATCTGTGACTTAAGGTAGCCTTTGATGAAGAGGGCAAGGGTGGAAACCACCATGAGTGGGATGCAAATCGAGGTACATATGAGAATGTGATAGAACGAAGGGAAGATTTTAGTCAGTCTTGCATCAAACAGAGCAAAATGAATTGTACAGAGGAGCAAAGAGACTAGCCATGAGAAGGCACAAAGTATGAGGGACAAGTAAGGAGGCTGATGGCATCGATACCAAATTGGGAAGAAGAGAGCCAAACACCGGTCGATGCTGATGATTGTCAAAAGAATTTGACCAGTGCAATAAGTGCATATGAAACATTCTGTTATTATTAGGGGGAATAATCTCTTAGCCAGGTACAGAATTTCTGTCAGAAATAGGAATATGAGGGTCCCACTGTCAGCTATGGCTAAATTGAGGATGTAAACAGTGAAAGAATTTCTCCTAATTGTGCATCCCAAAAGTCGGATGACAATGCCATTTCCAATAATTCCTGGAATACAGATTAAAATGATTAAAGAATAGATGACTATTTTCTGATATTCAGGCTCATGAACGCTGCTCTTGGAGTAGATGTCCTCAGTCTCGTTGTGATCGCTATACCTGAATGCCAAACTTCCCATTTTAGCATCCGTTATTCCAGAAAAGTATGGAGTTTTGACACATTGGTTGCTATCTTCTGTGGAAATGAATCTCACTTGGATTTTCTTGTTTCTGCTTCGTCTTGAGAGCTAAGGATGGATCCAGAAAAGCTAAAGGACAAAGCACTGACCCTTAGTTTAGTCAACAGCCATCAAATGACTTTTGCATCTGTTCTGATTTTTCCAAGAAGGATGTGGACAGGATGTAGACAATTTCACAGAAAATCTTCAGCAAAAAAAATCACTTGGGTTATCCTTTTGGGTACTTCTGCATTGGTTCTTGCTCAAGAAGGCAGAAATTGTGATATCAGTATCTGTAGATTATTTTCTCCCATCAGTTTTCAGCCATATGGGGTCAATTCATCATCTGGCATCATCTGGTTTCAGGACACGTTTCTTGTTTCGCCTTAATGCCTTTCCATAGAAGCGAAGCAGAAATGACTCATGGAGAACAGTTAATGTGATCACTTTGCCAGTTAAAAGAGGAAATGTTTTCTGTTTTGTGGGTAGTTTGGTTTCCTCTGCTTCTTCCCAAGAACTGTGTCATATCTAAAGTTTTTGAAAAAAATAGTCAGATGACCACTTTAATGGCATACAGTACAATATGGATCTTTCCATCTTTATTTTAAAGTGTAAAGCAACTGCCGTACAAAGTTATTAATCATAATTCTTATCCTTCTCAAATGTTCTCTTTGGGACCACCTATAAATAACCAGAACGTTTAATAATATTCTGGTTGGTTTATGTTTGTTCCCAGATAAACATCACAAGAGAAGAAAAAATTGTCCTTTGGAACAGGGGTCTCCAACCTTGGCAACTTTAAGACTTGTGGACTTCAACTTGTGGGGTTGAAGTCCACAAGTCTTAAAGTTGCCAAGGTTGGAGACCCCTGCTTTGGAATATTAACTGATAAAGGTCTTCCCTACTAAATATTTCTAATGATGTAGAATCTCACATGGTCGGTGACAATTTAGCAAGGATTCTAGGAAGCTGCCATCTCATTGAACTAAACCAAACCAAACTAAACTGCAAGCTAATGAAATGAAATAAAGTATACAATGAAACAATGGCTGAATACACCACCAGAGAAGCCACCTTAAGCTAAGGAGGAAGAAATAAAATTAGATAAGGGAAACATTAGAACATAAATTGTTTATAGAATGAATAAAAATAACAGAAAGATTAGAAGTTAGAAGATTAAAAGAGTCTTCCACTTCTCTGCTCATAACAGAATAACTTATGCCACCAGACTTGAAATTTTGGGCTTAGATGACTTAGAACTACACCACCTTCGGTCTGACTTAAGCGTAGTACACAAAATTATCTGCTACAACATCCTACTTGTCAATGACTACTTCAGCTTCAACCTCAACAATACACGAGCACACAATAGTACAAACTAAAGGTAAACCGCTCCAAACTCGATTGCAGGAAATACGACTTCAGCAACGGAGTGGTCAATGCCTGGAATGCACTACCTAACTATAGTGGTTTCACCCCAAAACCCCCAAAATTTTAATTTTAGACTGTCTACTGTATGACCTCACCCCATTCCTAAGAGGTCTGTCAGGGGTGTGCATAAGTGCACTATCGTGCCTACCATCCCTGTCCTACTGTCCCTTTTTATTCCTATCCATTTCCTGTATTCATAATCATGTTTATACTTATATCTGTTATCTTAGACATGCCTGATGAAATAAATAAATAAAATAAATAACTGGGTTTCTTTTTTAAAAAAATAACTGCTCGTCTGTGATGGATAACCTTTCGTAAGAAATCATACTATGAACAAATGTTGCCCTTGCAGTTTCTGAGACTTATTCTGAATTGAGAATTATTATTTTTTTTTCATATAACCAATGATGAGAGTTCTATCTTTGCTAAGGACATACCTGTTGATGAAGTAAAAGAATTCCTGGTGAGGTTAAACAGATCTCTTTGAGAATCCAAGGAAGTTCAGAAAGCGAGATTTCTTGGACGACTCCAGTTTGGTCTGCCTTTGATGTGGCTATGGTGAGCATGCAGAATTTATTCGGCATCAGAAATAGATTCCAGTAAAGAAGAGGAACTTGCTTCACATTTTGCTAAGTGTATCTCCAGATCTTTGCAAAGGAAAGACTTAATCATAATTTGGAAGGAGAAGCAAAACTCACCCCTGTTTATAACTTCTGTGAGAATGAGAAAACCCATCATCTGCATCTGCATAAACAGAGGGATAGAAACAAGATCACGTGAAGTGTTAATACCACTTTATAATGCCTTGGTAAGGCCACACTTGGAATACTGCATCCAGTTTTGGTCATCACTATGTAAAACAAGATGTTGAGACTCTAGAAAGAGTGCAGAGAAGAGCAAGAAACATGATTAGGGAACTGGAGGCTAAAACATATGAAGAACAGTTGCTGGAATTGGATATGTCTAGTTTGATGTAGGGACGTGGTGGCTCAGTGGCTAAAGACACTGAGCTTATCGATCGAAAGGTCGGCAGTTCAGCAGTTCGAATCCCTAGTGCCGCCTAACGGGGTGAGCTCCCGTTACTTGTCCCAGTTTCTGCCAACCTAGCAGTTCGAAAGCATGTAAAAAATGCAAGTAGAAAAATAGGGACCACCTTTGGTGGGAAGGTAACAGTATTTCGTGTGCCTTTGGCATTTAGTCATGCCGGCCATATGACCACAGAAACAACTTTGGACAATGCTGGCTCTTAGGGTTTGAAACGGAGATGAGCACCGCCCCTTAGAGTCAGGAATGAGTAGCACATATATGCGAGGGGAACCTTTACTTTAGTTCAATGAAAAGAACGACTAGAGATGACATGACAGCAGTCTTCCGATATCTCAGGGGCTGCCACAAAGAAGAGGGAGTCAAGCTATTCTCCAAAGCACCTGAAGTCAGGACAAGAAGCAATGGGTTGCAATTAATCAAGGAGAGAAGCAGCTTAGAACTAAGGAGAAATTTCCTGACGGTGAGAACAATGAATCAGTGGAACAACCTGCCTCCAGAAGTTGTGTCTGCTCCAATACTGGAAGTTTTAAGAAGAGACTTGACAACTATTTGTCTGAAATGGTATAGTGTCTCCTGCCTGAGCAGGGGGTTGGACTAGAAGACCTCCAAGGTCCCTTCCAACTCTGTTATTCTGATATTGATTAGCATATATTCTTGAGGACATAGACAGAATTTAAAAGGACTATTTGGAGCAAAGGAAGTAAAAAAGAAGCTTTAACTCTGTGGGGGTTTTTTCCCCAAAATACAGAAGGCATCACTTTCTTTACCCTTGAAGAATATTTCAGAACTATAGTTGGTCCAGAATGGAGCAGCCTAAATAGTCATGGGCATTTTTCATTCTGTTCATGTGACACTTCTACTTTGTAAATTGCACTAGTTACCAGTAGGCTTGAAAATATAATTCACAGTGTTGGTTGCCCCCAATAAAGGTCTCCATGGCTTAAAACAAGGGGTCACTCTTGTTTGTTTCTGTATCACCAGAAAGATCTGGCAGAGTAAGTTCACTCCAGGTCCCATCTATCAACAGTGTCTTTTGGAAGACCTAAATATTTGCCTTCTGTGTGACTGTGCCTACCCTATGAAGATACATCTCTTCTGAAATCTGTCTGGCTCCAACTCTTCTGCGAATTCAGAAGTCTTCAAAGATCTCTTTCTCGGGGCCTGTAGCTCTTCCTACAGGCCCCAAGAAAGGATGCTTCATGATCAACTCTCTGAAATTAGATTAAAAAATTGTCTTACCTGTATTACAGAACTCCAGAATCTGCCCCGTTCATTGTTCTTGTGAAGAAATGAGTGTCTCCTACCCTTTTCTGCACACAAAATTTCCCTTCCTTCCTTTGCTTCTCTTGATGGTGTTACTGAACAGATTCAGGGACAAATGTCTTCTCTGTAGCTAAATGAAGTTTAATATGGAACAAATTAGTCACTATGAAGTCTTTGGTGGTTTCTGAGCTTGGTTGCTTGGAAAACCACATCCCCACCAACACCGGCAGGGCAAGCTACAGTATATAAACAGGCATCAACCCCCACACTCAAATGTTACCTTAATAGGCTAATGAAATGTCTTTGTTGTTGTTGTTGTTAGTTGCAAAGTCATGTCCGACCCATCGTGACCCCATGGACAACGTTCCTCCAGGCCTTCCTGTCCTCTACCATCCCCTGAAGTCCATTTAAGCTCACGCCAGTGGTGGGTTCCTCCCGGTTCGGTCCGGTTCGGCCGAGCCGGTAGCTGTGACGATATGACGCCACCGAATCGGTTCTCCCCCCCACCCTCCCCCACCCACCCACCCACGTTATTCTTACCTTTTATTTGGTCCCACCCCCAATCTATTGCTGCCTCCTGAGTCCCAGATGATGACTAGAGGGAAAAAAACTGTTTAAACTTTTGCCGCGGGGCTTCAAAGGGCTGTCCTACAGCTGATCAGTGTTAAAAGCAAACAAATGAGTCGGGTCATAAGTGCGAGGACTGATCATAAGTGCGAGGACCTTCCAGAAATGACTCTGACCACCTAGCCATGCCTACCTAGTCACATGACCTCCAAGCCACACCCACAAAATAAGCCACGCTCACAGAACCGGTAGTAAAAAAATGTAGAACTCACCCCTGGCTCACGCCAACTGCTTCAGTGACTCCATCCAGCCACCTCATTCTCTGCCGTCCCCTTCTTCTTTTGCCCTGAATCTTTCCCAGCATTAGACTCTTCTCCAATGAGTCCTTCCTTCTCATTAGGCGGCCAAAGTATCTGAGTTTCATCTTCAGGATCTGGCCTTCTAAAGAGCAATCAGGGTTGATCTCCTCTAGGACCGACCGGTTTGATCGCCTTGCAGTCCAAGGGACTCGCAGGAGTACGTGAAGTCGTACATGAAACAGTAGACATGAAATGTCTACGAACAACCAAACTGAAAAAAACATCAAGGACACCACAATTCTCTTCTGTAGAAATTAGTCATTTTGTCATCTCTTGTGGTTATCACATTCCTCTGCTATGGTTAATCTGATCAAACACAAACTCATTCAACTCTTGTGTTCTCCTGCCTCCCGCCTACAGAAGATCCTGCCTGGTCTTGAGATCCTGCCTATTCCTGAGATCACAACGATGGCTCTGCTTTTGGAGTCCTTGGCAGTCTCTGAGTTTAGTTGTTAAAGTTGTTTAGTTGTTTGCTTGCAAATGTTCCATTTCCACAATACCCACATATACCCAAATCCTGCAACCGTTCTTCATATGCTTTAGTGTTCAGACCTTGAATCATCATAGTTACTGTTCTCTGCACTTTTTTCCCAAGTTTCAACATCTTTATTGCAACATCCCAAGTTGCAACATCTTTATTTGTGGCGACCAAAACTGGATGCAGTATTC